CTGATCAGGAACTATGAAAGTCCGACTATTGCTCCTCCCCCCGCCCGTCCTGAAAAAGCACAGGCTCCGCCCTCCAAACGTGACGTAGGCTCTGAGTGAGCCGCCCTTCCTCCGCCCATCTCAGGGAGGGAGGGGGAGACAGACGTGCACCCTGATAGTGGTAGGAATAAACGTTTATTCATCATGGAGATACAACGCGTTCAGCCGCATGTGTTGGACCTGGAATCGGACGAGGACTTTGAGGAGCACGAAGCTCATCCACATCAGCTGAACATTACTGATTGGTAAAGTATTAATAAACACTAGTAGATCAACTTATTATATCGTGGACACTCCAGTGTAGAACAATGAGCTTATGCTGTTGCTTTTGTTTAGGTGTTCATGTGGGAATTGTCAGACGATGTGGGGCAGAGGCGGTGCAGTGGGGGAGGGGGGCAGGTGTGAAGCGCTTTCTGCTACGTCAAACGCGTCATAGGTGTATCTGCCGTGTCATCGTTGTAGCAGCTTTAGTTCATTGTCATGTGGGAGGGTGGCAGAAATACGCTACAATTTGTTTTTAAAAAAAAAAACCCACAGAATCAATCTAAAAAACACTTTGGTGACATATACAAGGCCCACACATCACTCTTAGAAGGTAGAAAGCTCTGAAAAGCTGATTTTCCTTTAAGTGTGTGAGTCCAAGCTCTGGCCACAACCGAGCACACTTCAAAACAATGTAGATCTTTTTCACAACAGCCAGAAGTGCCACGCTGTAGGTTTGCAGAACTTCAGGTTAATGGTTTTCTATGGTAAAATGTGCGTGTAAATGTGTGTCGTATTCTCCAGCAGCTTCATAAATCTGCCCCATCACCAAATCTTCAACCAACAAGATCCACAAAGGATAAACATTCATCCATGAGCAATTTATCCACAACTGTCAAAGTAAGAAAGATGAAAACTTAAAGGGACAGCTCAGAATTTTGGATATAAGGCCTCATTTCCTAGTGAGTCAGAGTGTTGGAAACATGTGGAGACACTTTTTGAAATATTCCATCCAGTTCTTGTATTTGCAGAGATCGTTGGTGTTAGACTAGTGCATGTCAATGGTCATAGTTCTCCTGCCACTAAAAACAGTCTCACCCACTCCACAAAACACCTGAAACAGAACTATTATTACACCATACTGTCCATGTGAATGTCTGTGTTGATAGAATAATGTTTGAAATAAAACTAACCTTGCATTGCATGAATTGTCGCATGTTGAGGGACTATTTTCTCATATATCAGTCCACCACTGCCGAGCTTTCTATCAGGAAGTACAACTCGCTGCTGCTGCTCAGACATAAATCCTTCAAATACAAGGTTGGTTTTGCTTCTAAAATGATTCTATCGACACAGACATTCCCATGGACAGTCTGGTGTAATAATAGATTTGTTTCGGGTGTTTTGTGGAGTGGGTAAGACTGTTTTTAGAGTCAGGAGAACTATGACCATTGACATGCACTAGTCTAACACCAGTGACCTCTGCAAATACAAGGACTGGATGAAATATTTTTAAAAAGTGTCTCCATACGTCTCCAACACTCTGGCTCACTAGGAAATGAGGTCCTATGTCCAAAATTCCAAACTGTCTCTTTAAAGAAGAACTACAAGGACGCATTAGTGAACTACTGATTATGGTTCTAGAGATGTCTCACATTCAACCTGCACAAATCTCTCTGTTTATGTTAATATCAACATCATGAAATCGATTTTTAATTGTAGAATTAGTCTGAGATGAACAAGTTCCTTTTGTTTTATTCATGACTATCATGACTATAACACTAGTTTTGCTCAGTAGTCGTTGTTCTCCTTTAAGTTTTCGTCTTTCTTACCTTGATATGTATTTGAATGTTTATCCTTTGTGGACCTTGCTGGTTGAAGATTTGGTGATGGAGCAGATTCATGAAGCTGCTGGAGAATACGACACACATTTATACACACATTTTGTCACAGAAAACCATTAACCAGAAGTTCTGCAAACCTACAGCGTGGCACTTCTGGCCGTTGTGAAAAAGCCCTGTTAGTGCACAAGTTTTTTATAAAGAAAGGTACTTCAAAAATTCTCCTCGGAGTTGTATCTGAATAGTTCCATGCATGTGTGAGTAATCCTGTACTGTCCCGCATTTGAGATTTCTCCATTTCTGTTTCCCCCTATCTCTGCCCGCAATGCTGCATTTAAGATTGTTTTTAAAAATTCAGTCTCAAAGTCATAGATTTTGGGATAAAAAAAAACAAAGACTTTTTTCTACAATAAAAACATGCAAATGAAAATCCACTGCTTTTTACGATGAAAAGCTACGAAAAGGCGAGGCTTCCCAGTTCTGCAGTTTGGAACAGAAGTCAGTGGAGCCATTTCTATGAATAAACAATTTGAATGAACCGAAGTCTCTTGATTAATGGCCCCATAATGCGAGCTAATAGGAAAAATGAATGAATTTGGACCTTGGTCTTTAAAATATCCTGCCCTCAATGAAGTGTTGCTTTGCTTTTTGAGAGGAAATTGTTTTCAGAGTAAATTAATAAATGTACTTGTTTTAAAATGTTTCCAATGTAACCAACTCCTTCAATTTCAGACCACGACTATTTCTAAAAGACAAGAGACTCTGTAAATAGTTTTTTTCTGTAAATACAAGTAAGAGTTCTGTGACATGTTTTGTATTTCTGTAAACAGTTAAATGTATATTCATTTATGACCTTGTATGTACAGCAGAGGTGGAACCAAGTCGTTGTTTTGTGAGTCTCGAGTTAGTCTCAAGTCTTTGACCTCAAGTCCGAATCAAGTCCCAAGTCAAATACAGGCAAGTCCAAGTCGAGTCTCGAGTCAGTGGCCCATAAGTCCAAGTCAAGTCCAAGTCGTCTGCTTTGAGCTTCAAGTCATTTCAAGTCTTTAAACTAAATGCCAAATATAGCTTTGATTTTTGCAATTTATGTGAATTTGTAACTAACTGTAAAAAGTCATGGTATATTTATATATGAGTATTTATATACCAGTTGTAGAAATGCATTTTTTTCCTTTTTAAATGTCTTGACAAGATCTTAGTGTGAATCATTATGGCCAGAACAGAAAGAATTCAGATCTAAAAGTGCTAAATAAGAGTTATTTTATCGTGTGTCTGCCCTGAAATGGAAGAAGCATGTTCTTTGTAGTTCACTCTGTTTTACTGTATTGTACTGCATACTACTGTATTGTACTGTATATTACTGTATTGTACTGTATTGTACTGTACTATATTACATATTACTGTACTGTATTGTACTGTACTATATTACATATTACTGTATTGTACTGTACTATACTACATATTACTGTATTGTACTACTATATTACTATATTGTACTGTATATTACTGTATTGTACTGTACTGTACTGTATTGTACTACATTGTACTGCATTGTACTGTATTGTACTGTACTGTATTGTACTACATATTACTGTATTGTATTGTATTGTACTGTACTATACTACATATTACTGTATTGTACTGTATTGTACTGTATTGTACTGTATATTATTGTAGTACATTTCAGGATATCATATCACAGTACTTCAGTTTCATCCAAAATAACAAACAGAAGTGGGAGGGACATGTTCCAGTTTGTTCCTGTAAAATTCAGCTCCACATTTATCAACTGTAAAGAGAAAAGTATTTTCTAAAAACACTTATTTTTTTAGGAGAAGCATCAAATCTTCTCAAGTCACAGGGCTCAAGCCAGAGTCAAGTCCCAAGTCATTGACCTTCAAGTCCAAGTCGAGTCCCAAGTCTTAGTCCATTTTATCAAGTCAAGTCTCAAGTCCTAAAAATTGTGACTCAAGTTTGACTCTAATCTAAGTCACGACTTGCGCGTCCCACCTCTGATGTAGAGTCTGCTAAATGAACCTAAGTCCATGTATGTCCAGCCTTCTATAGTTAGAACCTTAACAGAGAAGTTCATTTGTGAGACATGCAGGCGCTCGCTGTGTGGACCTTCACTATTCTGATATCACATAAAGTACTTCTTTTAATTCTCTACCTGGTCTGGAATCATTTCTTTCACGATTACACTAAACAAACAAACATCATTTATCTCACAGACATAAACAGACAGGTTTGTTAACACATGTGAAACAAAGGAGCTCACTGGTCTTCCTCGTCCATCATTTAAAACAAAATCAAACATCTCCCTTCAGATGAACAGTGTCTGGTTCTTCTGTCATCGATTCTGCAGAAGTCCACAGTGTTATGTCTTTCTTTTTGTTTTAGCGTGGCTGGACCGTGCATTTCTCTGATTGGCTAAAACATCACCCGTCAATCACTCTCATCTCCACTCATCAAGATAAAACCGGACCCAGAGTACATGTCTTTGTGAAGGAAAAGTGTTGTGTCCTGGCTGGCGTGTGTCAGATTATTCAGTGTAAGTGAATGTGTCACAGATTAAGACGGCCTCTCCCTGTGGGCGTCATTAAAGTTTCATCTAATCTCCTCTAATCAGCACAAGCCTGACACTCAGAGGCTATTGTACTCCCCACTCAGGAGAACACTGCACTGTTATCTATGGAAAAATCTATGACAAATGTGAAATATATGAAATGTACAGATTACATACGTGTGGCACAATAGAGTTCATTCACTTCACATTATTACATATTATTGCTCTGCTGTAGCCAATAAATCCAAAGTGTGATTGATCGGCAAAGTTCAGTGAGTATGGCTCTAGAGCGTCCACAGTAAAATAGATCTGTGTAGGAAACAGATTTCATAAGCTTTTGGTCCATGAAGCCAACATAGCCAGAAGTTTTATTTTGAAAAATAAATAAATAAAAAATTGATTGGAAAAAAAAAAATATATTGAACATGCTAGTTAATATTTGGATACAAGCTACAAAAATGTAAAACAAACAAAATCAAACATTAATATTATTTATTTATTAATTTAGAAAAAAGAATTTGTGTGAAAGAGGAAGTCCCTCCCATTTTCGTTTCCTGACGTACTTCCTCCACACAAACAAACATGGCGGCTGCCAGTCCGACAGTCTCTGCTCTTCCTCCTAAAGTAGTGATTAAAACCGAGCCTGATTCGGATGAGGAGAGCAGCCCGGAGCCGGAGGATGTCCCGCAGCTCCGGGAGCCCGTGGTCCCGCTGCTGTCGCCTGTGTGCGGGCTCCAGCCGCTGCTCTGGTCCCAGGACCACAGACTGGCCGTGTCCACCACCAGCGCCGTGAGCGTGATCGAGCTGCGCTGTGACATCCACAACCCCCAACAACAACTCAGCCTGCACCGCACCTCCATCAGCATGAGCCAGGACGAGCACCGGCTGCAGGTGAGAGTCCCGCGGACACACGGGGACGGTGCGCTGCGCTGCGGGAGCGCGACTGTGCGTCTGTGCGTCTGTGTGCAAGTCCTGATGTAAACACAGGTCCCTCTGAACATCCAGACTCTGTGTGAGGCAAGACTAAAGCCAGTCTAACGGAGATGACATCATATTCTAATAAGCGCAATGGATAATCAAGTAAAAATCCATTTTACAGCAGGACATTTGGTGCTGTTCTCCTCCTGTTCTCCACTACACTCTTGTATAAAACTGCTCCACTGTTAGAGGCAGAGTTTTTAATAGTGTGTAAAAGTAGTAGCCTAGTAGTACATTTCCTCACAGATGCCAATCACACAGCCCAATATAGCAGACTAAATCAGGACTTAATCCCTGCTGCTGTCTGCCAAGTCAATATTAAATTGGGTGCTTTTACTATGGCTCCTGTGTTGTTTTTTCTTTAACCCAAATAATGTAAAGAAAAATATTTAAATGCAGAAATCCAAAAGTCGTGGACAAAAGAGAGAGGCATGTAATCCAGAACAAATGTTTCTGCTGTGGTTAGCCTGTTCCCAGCTGCTCGGGCGTGTAGCTAAACGCAACGCTCTCCAAAACGCTACTTGGCGCAAAAAATACCAGGAGTGGCTTAATTTTACAGCCAGCTAAGCACAGTGACAGACGGGCACAGTTGGGTTAAAGCCACCAGTTACATATCTTACACCAGGCCTTGTCATCTCAGTGTTACACCACTTTATGAGGAAGCATTTTACAACATTGTCCATTTTAAACCTTATTAATCCTTTAATAAGAATGACATCTTTCTAATTCAATTACATGGAAATGTAATAATCTGTCTGGCAGGATGCACTATGCTCTCTGCTTTCTGTGTAATAGCAGAGAGCATACTGTAAGCCTGTTCCTCACCATGTCAGTGAGGAACAGGCTTACACAGCGAACGCAGCCAACGCTTCTCATTCATCTCTATTTTATCACATTTAGAGCTGGGTCCAACTAAGGATAAATTAGTTTTGCTAAATTCATCCTTGGCTGTGTAATTGTTTTAACAGGAGTATTTCCCATATTTGTGCATTAGAGCTTGAGATTGTGTCGTCACACATGAACAAATGTCCAGGCTATTTGTAAACCAATAGAGATTCTAAGACGCTTACTACTCAAGTTGGCCTTGTTTTGAATAATGCTGGCTGTTCATTTTTTTTCGTGTTTTGTTATACTGTACTATGTACTATATTTAGTATTACTATAGTCAAAAACAGCTACATCTGTTATTATGTGCATGATACATTCTCAGTCATATATGTATGTGAAAGTTTACAAGGTGTCTCTGGTTGTAGGACTGTGACTCGGCATCAAACAGCTGGTGTAGCAGTAAGGTAAAGGTACATGGTATTGAGCTCAGTAGGAACATTTGTCCTTGGTATTTGACCTATTCTTCAAAGCTGCTGGGTTAACCTGTGAGGAGCAGAGGGTACAAGCGGCTGAGGATTCATCTCCAGATGCTGAATGTGACTTGGTCAAGACTTGCACCTTTTGACAGGGCACAGAATAGTTTTATTTGATTGGTACAGAACAAAGAGTGGTTGGCCATGCCATCATCCATAGGCCATTTAATGATCAGCTAATGTACACACTTTGTACTCACAGACTTCACTTTGCCCTCACAGGGTCTACCTACCTGACATTATCCAAAACAGACTCTGGGTTTTGCATGTAGGTTTAGGTAAAATGTCACCTAGATATTTTTCCCCAGTAAAAATAGGCAAATGCAAGTCTGCTGCTCATGCGTCCTGTGCTCAGGTCTGTGCACTGGCTCTTGTGGCTCAGAGATAGACTTTAAAGCAGCTCTGCTTGTGTACAAGTCTCTCCATGGCCGAGCACCAAAGTACATCTGTGACATGTTAGTGCCATACGAACCATATCACACTCTGAGGAGCTCAGAGACCGGCCTCCTTCTGGTGCCCAGAGTCACGACTAAACAAGCTGTGTCAGCTAAAACCTGGAACAGTCTTCCTGAAGATGTGAGACAGGCCTCTACTTTGACTCTGTTTAAAGGCTCTAAACAGTTCTGTTCAACTGCGTCTGACTGAAAGGTTTTCATTCTGCACTCTTCTCTCTCTTTAATTTTATAATGATAATTTATGTTTTGACATTGTGATTTGAATGTATTTCTTATTCTGTGAAGCACTTTGAATGACTTTGTGTACAAATTGTGCTATACAAATAAACTTGACTTGCCTTGTTTACTCCAGTGAAATGCCACATGAAGAGGTGGGGCTTCTCAGTGAAGTGTTTTTGACCAGGAAGTCAACTGACCTAATTTATTATTCAGCCATATTAGATCAATATTTTTATGGTTTACAATGAATGACCTACATATATTACAATTGAATACAAAAGAAGTTTGAAGTAAATGTTGTTTTGCTTTATGCATTTACACAAGTCTATTTGTATCCTTCAGGTGGGGTCTCCGAGGCAGCAGGAGGAAGCTTACACAAAGTTCTCTGCGCATGAGGACCCTGTGATCAAACAGGCGTACCTGGCCAACACCGTCATGAACCCCAAGATACAGCTGCCCAAAGGAGTCAAGTACGTGAGCTGGTCCCCGCTGGGCTGCGACACTAGGGGGTGCTGTCTCCTCGCCTGCTTATCGCTCCAACACAGACTCACCGTTCACCAGAGCCACAAACATCTGGAGTGGAACATGCAGGTCGACCTCAGCAAGAAGTACGGCGCGAGGCTAAAGGAACGAGGCTACGCCAAAAAGGACAATGAACCTCCAAAGGCCAGCTTACTGAACTTTGACGAACTGCAGAGGCGATTCAGTATGCAAACGCCTGTGAGAATGGAGTGGTCCAGCATCTACACTACCAAACAAGTTCTTCCCAACAACATTTGCGAGGACACTGAAATAATTTTGCTCGCTGTTTTGATGGAAAACGGCGATCTGGTTTTGTGGAAATTCATGCTGCCATTTACGAATGAAGAGAACGTTGAATTTTACGACATAATAGAATCAGGAGTAGATCGGCCGAGCGACTTGGCGTGGTGGGAATACGAAAGCGGAAATCGGCGAATGAGCGGGCTAATTATTGGAAGCCAAACGGGACCGGTAAAGATCATGCCGGTTAGTTTAACAGGAATAAAAGGGTACTTCACGCTGCGCCACCCTGTCGTCTTGTGGAAAGAAACGGACGAAATCGCGGTGAAAAACATCAAATGTGTCTCCATGACCCACCCCGTGCACAACGCAAGCTGTAGCCTCATTGTAGCGTCGCGCGGTTGCTACGTTTTCTGGTGTCTGCTGATGATCTCCAATGCCGGGCTGAACATTCACAACTCGCACGTAGCGGGACTGTATTCACTTCCGATTGTTTCGCTCGCCGTAAGCCAACACCCGGTCACAATCTACACCTGCTCGTCGGACGGTTGGATTAAGCGCCTGACGCCAACTTTTACTCAGAAAAGTTTGTTTTTCAAGCAGGAGGACATGGTTCGCACGGAGAACGTGGCGGGAAGACGCATGCACGGGTTGGCGGTTAGTCACAACGGGGCGTACATGGCCATCGCCAGCACCCAAGGAATGTGCCCCACAACAGGTCTTCATCCGCTTGAAAGGACGTACAAGGTTCACTTCATGGCTTTGAAATCGGCGAAAAGCGCAGCCAAATTATTACTCAGCCCCCCTGTGCAAAGTTTGTACAGAATGTCCGACCTCCTTGACGTCATCCGGGTGCAGATACTGGAAGAGAAATGCATTCCCACAGCTTTGCAACAAGAACTGGACAAAAGGATCCAGGAGGAGGATTTGACGTACTTGTGGAAGTTTAAGTTGTTTTTGGTGCGGGCTCTTCATCTTTCGCTGCAGAGGCCGAAGGTCGGGGTGAGGTGGAGGCCCATGCCAGAGGTCAGGAAGAGGCTGATCTCAGAAGACGAGGGGGAAGAGGCGACGGAGCGAGAGGAAGATATACAGACGGAGGCAGAGACGCAGACGAACAGAGAGAGCCCAGGGGTCAATAGAAAAATCTTATTAGAGGTGAGTTGTGTGACAAAAAGTAACATGCAGTAGCCTATTACAGTAACTATACTCAGGGTTCCCACGGTCATGGAAATCCTGAAAAAGTCATGGAAATTGAAAATATAATTTTCCAGGCCTGGAAAAGTCATGGAATTTTGTAAATTCAAAGGAATTACAGCATTCTGTTAAGTTCTCTTTAGGCTATTATATTATTTCTGAACATCTGCACCTTTTGTTTAAAAGAAATAGCAATAAATGCACTGACAGTATTTAGAATGTTAAAGGGATAGTTGGAAACTCATTTACATTATCCTTAGAATTTGTCCTCTGCAAATAATAACATCCAGTCCACAAAACCGCGTTATTTATCCAGTTTGAGGTGTTCTTTAAAATTAAAAAGGTGAGAGTAGGTCCTCACATGTGACTCTGTGTCCTGTGGACTTTAACGCCAATCTTTTGTGCATTAAAAATCATGTATCTGAAATTTTGCATCGCGTTTCACAAATAATAATAACACAGTTTTAACTTGTATCTAAACTAGAAGTGCAGAGCTCTGATCTTTTGAACACTTAAGAGTCTCAAAGCGAGTGGTTTTAATGTAGACAGGAAACCAGCTGACACGATCACACTCACAACTTTATATTCTGTGGTCTGCAGTCAAATCCTGCTGCAGTCTTTGCGATCATTATTGTGTCATAAGATTCTACTTTAGTGTGTTGTGTATTATTTTTGTCACACGTTTAAAAATCGTTTAAGACCAAAAAAAAAAAAAAACTGTAGTGTGTGGCGGCCTTTACAAACATGAAAAACAGAACTAGTTTTTTTTAAATGCTTTGAAGTTTGAGTTTATAAATGCTTTTCACATCTCTGAGACCAGTGTGCTAAAGCTGAGCATTATGGTCAACCTAACAACAACTAGCATGCTAACACACACTTCCTGATACTTGAACAACAAACACGATAACTGGTTGCAGACAACACACAGAGGAATTATTTTGACCCCAAGAGCTACTTATACAACAATATATTTGTACTGGGGCAAGGCAGATTTTTGCTCAAATACAGCCCAAAAAAACCCCCAAAAACAAAAACGGATACAGGACCTTTTTCAGAATACATTTGAGCTAGTCAAAACTATCTAAATCAGAGGTGTCCAAACTTTTTTCATCAAGGGCCACATATCTAAACACAGATGAAGTAGAGGGCTGAGGGCCGTAGACTGGAACTCAGTACAGTGAATAATTAAAATATGTGCATGTTTAATACGTTAGAATGAGCCATCAGTCTTTATTCATGCTAAAATCCTCAAAACCACACACTAAATCTTAAGTATGAGCTTTATCAAAGTAGATTTTCAAAAAACTTGCAATAAAAAGTAAATTTTTAATTGATGTAAGGTAATTTGGGCCAAGTCACCTGGAAGCCTGAGGGCCAAGAAAAATTTGTCCGAGGGCCACATTTGGCCCACGGGCCGTAGTTTGCACATGCCTGATCTAAATAAAGATTATTTGTGAATTTACTGTATTTTTACACTAATTAAAATAATTTCTGCAGTGCAAAAAATTAAGTTTTTATAACTGGTGTTATAAAAAAATGTTATGTTGGATGGTTGTATGTTGGACAAGTGCAAAACTGTATTGAAATAAACTGAATAGAACTGAATGGAATAAACCGAATTAATCTTGTTCGGTCTGGTATAATTTTTGTAATGTTTTTTTTTTTTTTTTTTTTTTTTTACACACAGTTTAAAAATATGAATATAAAAAAAAATAAAAAATTTTGCTTACATTCACAGTTACTCAATATCAGAACTTCTCACATTGTGGGGCTCAGAGGAAAATGTTCCTTGTGTGTTTTGCCTGTCTACATCTCCAGACTGGGACTGCCCTAAAAGTCATTTATTGATCTATTTGGCTACGTGCACCTTCCACATATAGCCTCAGTTCAGGAGGCGCCGACAATCAAACTAACTGCTAATTGTTGTTGTGGTAGAAAGAGGAGGACCTGGAGGAGCACATGTCAGAGGTCCAGGCGTGGATCAATTCGGTGGAGACCCATCTGATGAGGGAGAACATGAAGAGGGTCCTGGGGACGGTCTACCTCAATACTATAATCACCCACAACACCAGGATCCCCACCTGTGGCCTGATGCAGTACCTGAGCACAGACAACCGCGACCGAGACGCAGAGGTCAGCACGTTAGCATTTCTGTTTGGTTGGCATGTTTTTTGAGTGGTTATCTAATTGTTCAAATTGTGTTAACAAGGGACAGTTCAGAATTTTGAACATAGGGCCTCATTTCCTAGTGAGCCAGAGTGTTGGAGACGTGTGGAGTCACTTTTTAAAATATTCCATCCAGTCCTTGTATTTGCAGAGGTCACTGGTGTTAGACTAGTGCATGTCAATGGTCATAGTTCTCCTGACTCTAAAAACAGTCTTACCCACTCCACAAAACTCTGTGCTTCATTTGTGCTGTTTTGTGCTCTTATGGTTCTTGGCTATTAGCTATTAGTTATTTCCTGCCAGAAATTATGTAATGTAATCAGTGAAATAAACAAATAATAACTTTAAAAACATTAATGCAAAAAGTAAAATATTAAAGGCACCCAACAGCACAAACAAAACAGAAAGAATTTATGTAATAATTAGCTTTTTCTTTTTTTTTTAGCACATTTTAACATTTTTGGGGGGCGGGGTGGCGTCATCTATCCTAATTCATCAGCCGGTTTCACTTCATGGAAACCACAGCATTACGATTCGTTCACTCAACTTTTTTTTTTATTTAACCAATCGCTGCTATTTGGTCGTGATGTATGTAATGCTAATGGGGCAAACTGGTATATTAAGCTTTTCCCAAATCTCGTAGGAAGAAGGACAATAACGTCTTTCCCCTTAATAAAATTCACCAAACATTCTCTTTGTTCCGGCTTTAAATCCTCGATCTTGGGAATTGTTGCCAACACAGAATGTCTGTCTCTTCGCTGGTGTGTGGTCTACAACTTCTGGGGTTCTTGCAAACCATCTAGTGTATTTAGATTCCTGACCTGGTCACTGGAGAGAAATGAAATTGAGTTAAGGCACTAGGTGGCACCAGCCTGGCTAGGCGTCATTGACTGAAAATAGCTAATAGCTAATTGCTAAGAACCGTAACAGCACAAACGAAACTTTTTGTAGCACAAAACGGCACAAACAGAGCACAAAATATTGACACAATTTTGGACAATTTTAGAGCATTTTGAAGCTTCCTGGGGATGGCTGATCCCAATTTGGCCCATAAAAGAATCGTTAATATCTGCAAAACTAAAACAGTACAAACAAAACTTTTTGCAGCACAAAACAGCACAAACGAAGCACAAACAATTGACCTAGTTTTTGTGTAGGTTTGTGTTTGATGGGGCCAAATTCACACAGGTTGATCTAGGTTTTGTGTTAACAATGAATCCCCCCTCTTTAATGTATATTCAGACATTTTATAATTATAGATACAGTTATAAAAGTTCCTTATCATTATGATAGTATAGAATTTATATAGTTTATTTGTATAGCACAATTTGTGTACAAAGTAATTAATTGTAAATAGATCCAAAGTTGTTATACATTTGTAGCAGCATTTTGGGAGTAGATGTAGTAGTTTTTAGACTTTTTCAGGTTTATAAGCTACATAATTCTAAAGTTAATTGTCAGTTAATTGTGATGACTGAAGTATTTGAATTCTGAGTGTGCAGTAGTTTTGCTCAGCTCCCTGCTCGCCCCCTGCAGGTCCTGATCGGTCATGTGAAGAAAAAGCTGTTCAAGCAGACGTTCCAGGAGTACTGCAGTCTGTGTGAGGAGGCGCTGCCCTTCGACGACTACAAGCAGGCCACCTGTGCCAACGGACACGTGTGGCCCAGGTACTCCCTCCTCCTGACGGGTGCTCTCTACTCCTGACCCGTATTCTCTCTCCTTCAGACTTTACAGGTTTATGGGCTACTCTCTCTCCCAAAACATACGTGTGTTTGGGGTACTCTCTCTCTCAGACTGCCTATGTATCCGGGGTAACCTCTCCTCGGGTACTCCCTCCCCCAAGCCCAGACTTCACATGGGTTTGGGGTACTCTCTCCTCCAGACTGCACACTTGTCTGAGGTAATTCCCTCTTGAGTGCTCTCTGCTTCGGTACTCTCTCCTCCAGCACACATATTTGAGGTACTCTCCCTCAGACTGCATTGTGACTGGCGTTCTCTATCCTTGGGTACTCTGTCCCCCGTTCTGCCTTAATGTCTGGGGTACTCTCTTTTCTGGTACTCTCTTCCCCAGAGGGGCATAGTGTCTGGGGTACTCTGTCTTTGGGTGTTCTCGCCCCCCATGCCCAGACTGGCCTGGTGTCTGGGGTAGTCTCTTTCCCTTGCTGAGACTGGCGTAGTGTTTGGGCTACTCTCTGTCCTCAGGTACTCTCTCCTGGGGTACTTTCTCCACCTTGCCCAGAATGGCCTGGTGTCTGGGGTACTCTCTCCCCCACGCCCATACTGGCCTGGTGTCTTGGGTGCTTTCTCTCCTGGGGTACTCTCTCCTGTAGACCAGCCTGGCGTGGTGTTTGGGGTACTCTCTCTCCTGGGGTACTCTCTCCTGTAGACCAGCCTGGCGTGGTGTCTGGGGTACTCTCTCTCCTGGGGTACTCTCTCCTGTAGACCAGCCTGGCGTGGTGTCTGGGGTACTCTCTCTCCTGGGTACTCTCTCCTGTAGACCAGCCTGGCGTGGTGTCTGGGGTACTCTCTCTCCTGGGGTACTCTCTCCTGTAGACCAGCCTGGCGTCTGGGGTACTCTCTCTCTGGGGTACTCTCTCCTGTAGACCAGCCTGGCGTGGTGTCTGGGGTACTCTCTCTCCTGGGTACTCTCTCTCCTGGGGTACTCTCTCCTGTAGACCAGCCTGGCGTGGTGTCTGGGGTACTCTCTCTCCTGGGGTACTCTCTCCTGTAGACCAGCCTGGCGTGGTGTCTGGGGTACTCTCTCTCCTGGGGTACTCTCTCCTGTAGACCAGCCTGGCGTGGTGTCTGGGGTACTCTCTCTCCTGGGGTACTCTCTCCTGTAGACCAGCCTGGCGTGGTGTCTGGGGTACTCTCTCTCCTGGGGTACTCTCTCCTGTAGACCAGCCTGGCGTGGTGTCTGGGGTACTCTCTCTCCTGGGTACTCTCTCCTGTAGAGCCTGGCGTGGTGTCTGGGGTACTCTCTCTCTGGGGTACTCTCTCCTCTTGGGGTACTCTGGTGTCTCCTGGGGTACTCTCTCTCCTGGGGTACTCTCTCCTGTAGACCAGCCTGGCGTGGCGTCTGGGGTACTCTCTCTCCTGGGGTACTCTTTCCTGTAGACCAGCCTGGCGTGGTGTCTGGGGTACTCTCTCTCTGGGGTACTCTCTCTCTCTATAGACCAGCCTGGCGTGGCGTCTGGGTACTCTCTCTCCTGGGGTACTCTCTCCTGTAGACCAGCCTGGCGTGGTGTCTGGGGTACTCTCTCTCCTGGGGTACTCTGTCCTGTAGACCAGCCTGGCGTGGTGTTTGGGGTACTCTCTCCTGTAGACCAGCCTGGCGCAGTGTGTGGGGTACTCTCTCTCCTGGGGTACTCTCTCCTGTAGACCAGCCTGGCGTGGCGTCTGGGGTCTCTCCTGGGTACTCTGGGTACTCTCCTGTAGACCAGCCTGGCGTGGTGTCTGGGTACTCTCTCTCCTGGGGTACTCTCTCCTGTAGACCCCTGGCGTGGTGTCTGGGGTACTCTCTCTCCTGGGGTACTCTCTCCTGTAGACCAGCCTGGCGTGGTGTCTGGGGTACTCTCTCTCCTGGGGTACTCTCTCCTGTAGACCAGCCTGGCGTGGTGTTTGGGGTACTCGCTCCTGTAGACCAGCCTGGCGTGGTGTCTGGGGTACTCTCTCTCCTGGGGTACTCTCTACTGTAGACCAGCCTGGCGTGGTGTCTGGGGTACTCTCCTGGGGTACTCTCTCTCCTAGACCAGCCTGGCTGTGGGTACTCTCTCTGTCTGGGGTACTCTCTCTCCTGGGGTACTCTCTCCTGTAGACCAGCCTGGCGTGGTGTCTGGGGTACTCCACTCTGTCCTGTAGACCAGGCGTGGTGTCTGGGGTACTCTCTCTAGACCAGCCTGGCGTGGTGTTTGGGGTACTCTCTCCTGTAGACCAGCCTGGCTCTCTTCTGTGTCTGGGGTACTCTCTCTCCTGGGGTACTCTCTCCTGTAGAGCAGCCTGGCGTGGTGTCTGGGGTACTCTCTCTCCTGGGGTACTCTCTCCCTCTTACCTAGCCTGGCGCGGCGTCTGGGCCTGAGCAGAATCCTAATGCGTCCCACACATTATTTGCAGACGGGTCGGTGCAATCACAGTCTGCTCCTGATATTTGCCCACACTGTGCTCTATTCAAACACCTGCTTTGTCTGTCCCCGGAGCCGCCCGGGCCTCTGGTCACGCAGCGCAGGTTGTGTGCCTTATTTTAGTGTCTCTTTTTCATTGGTCGTAATTGTAGATGTAGCGTGGGTTTCTTGGATAAGTGCACACTCACTATTGACCTTCTGATATAAACTAGAATAACCTCAGAGAAAGTACGTTATGTGATTAAATATATTCTGTATACTCACCAAAACACATTCACCACACAAAAGTTCGATTTCATTTATTTTAAACTGCCATTAAACACCCAAGCAAAATGTGAAAAATCCCCCAGAGTGGGCGGTGCTCGGTGGGTTTGGGAGAGCAGCTGTGAGGCGAGACCCACAGCCACAACAATCCAACACATCTTGGACCAGTGCAATCTGGACCTTTTCTCCAGACACGGGACATCGTAGTGACACCGTGGCAGTGTTGGGGAGTAACAGATTACATGTACCGGAGTTACGTAATCAGAGTACAAATTATGAGTAACTGTATTCAGTTACAGTTACTGTTTCAATGAGTGATAATTGGATTACAGTTACTTTGTTTAAATATATGGATTACACAGAGGGATTTTCCTGTTCCCTTTTTTTTTCCCCCACTAATTACACTCATTGCCGGACACTAAACCAGGTCCAAACCAGGTCTAAACCAGGACCAAAACCAGATCTAAACTAGGTCTAAACCAAGACTAAACCAGGACTAAAACCAGGTCTAAACCAGGACTAAACCAGGACTAAAACCAGGTCTAAAATGGGACTAAACTAGGACGAAACCAGGACTATAACCAGGACTAAACCAGCACTAAAACCAGGTCTCAAACAGGATTTAACAGGACTAAATCCTGCTGTGTGGACGTGTCTCTTCGTCTTCTATCAATAATACTTTTAATTTGGTTCAGTAAAGTCTGGGCTTTTTATTTTCTTTTATCAGACAAAACATCTTATGTGAAGATTTCCTCATCTTTGCTTCTCTACAGCAAATCAAGTAATCCAAAGTATTCAGATTACGTTACTCACCTTAAGTAATTTAATGGATTACGTTACAAACTACATACTGTGGTGCCAGGTCGGGGCGGGGCTGAGAGGAGCTCCTCACATTCCACCCGTAGACACCAGTGGCTGTGCTCATCATATAATAAACTGCATCTGAATCATTGGTGGCCGTTAGTCCAACCCGGAAATTCAAATGTTCTGGCTGTAGTTGATCCTAAAGATTCCATCACAGACACGACTTTGATCCAAAAGTTTGATTTTTAACAAATATGTACTAAAATGATAAAAGACCAGGGATAGAGATACACTTCTGTTGTAGACCCATTTACACAGAGAATCATTAGAAAAAATGATTTTGGTGTTTAGTGGCCCTTTAAGCAGTCACATACAGCATTAACAGAATTTTGATGTTTAATTTGATCATTTTTCATTTCCACACACTGATACAGATTAGCTCAGTACAACACAAACCTGTGGTTTCTTCTTACCAGAGGAAGAGTCTGGTAGAATGGTCTCAGTGTGTAGAAATGATGAGACCATGGAAAGAGTCTAACCTGCATGTTGAGGACATATGTTTTACTTTCTCAATTGCCACGTTTACATGAGAGCTTTAATTCTGAATAAAACTTAATTCCAGTTTTAAAAGACCATGTTAACACTTAATTCCTAATGAAAATCATTATTCGGAATTAAACTTAATTCCGAAGTAAGTGGGTGGTTTATTCCAATTTTAAAGACGAATTAATTCATTCCTGGATCATGTAAACATTTATTCTTCTTAAAAATAATTCCGGTCGTTCAGCGTATGTTTGTTGTGTCGCCCTTCTGACGCGATCCAGACGATCCAGCTCCATCAGTCCTGGCTTCGGACTTTCATCCACGTCACTTTGGATTTGTCAGCGGGATGTTGGAGTGGGCTGATGTAGAGCAGCCATTGACTCAGTTTGTCTTCTTCTTCCCTTCTCCTCCTCAGCCGACAGACGTAAAACGTGATGAGAGAATTCTTCAGCTGCTGCGCAATTATCATTAGAATGACTGCGAAAAAAGTTTGGATCATGTTTGTGTCTGTGGCGTAACAACAAACCAAGATGACAGAAAACCCGGTAGCAGATAAAGTGTGTGTTTTCTTCCGGTCGACGTAAATACATTTATGTTCCTGTCCAATCAGAACCTTCCCCACCCCCAGACGTTAAGCAAAATTAAATAAAAGCGATTGAACGTGTTTTCCGTGTAAACCTCAATTCGGAATTATTATTTCCATGTAAACTCAAAGGAGAATATTTTAATTCAGAACTATTTAATTCAGAACAATTAATTCAGAATTGAAAAACATCATGTAAACGTGGCTATTCTGAGTTTATGGACAGACCTCACTCAGATCAGAGTAAGAGTCAATTCTGCTTTCTGTTTTTATAATCAACATGAGACCCACACAAAAAGTGAAACATCTTTTACATCAAATGTTTCTGAAATAAACCAACATTATAACAGTTATCAGTAATACACTTGAACATATTTATATTTGGGTACAATGAAAGGATCGTACATGCCCTACTTTCTAAAATACCTCCAAACTATAGTAAAAGTCGTCAAGTTTGATTTGAATGACCCATTTTTAACCCCGTGCTGCTTCTTCGCTCTTCACACCTGCCATTTGAACGCTCCACGTCTACTATTCCTCCTCCAAACCACCTCTGCCTACTCTTTCATACTTCTTATTTTGAAACAATCTTACAATTCTACTACAGAGGAAATACTGGTGTAAGAATCCCGCCGCTTGTAGTCCACTTAGTCCCATTTTGGACAAAACCGATCAGACCGGCCCTGTCCACAATCCGAAGACAGCAGCCCGAGACGGCGGACGTTCTGCGGCGTTATTGACCACCGCTCGTTTAAACCCCCGTCCGCGCCGATAAATGTCGAACCGCGGCAGCCCACCCCTCACCTCCCCCTCCTCTTTCTCTTCATCCTCCTCCTCTTCATCGTGCTCTTCCTCTCCTCCAGGTGTGGGCTGTCATACCAGGCTTGCCAGGCGGTGACGTTCAGACGGTGCCTCCTGTTGGATAGCGTCTCCAGTCTGCCAGAGCCGGAGGGTAAGAGCCACATCCCCTGTCCCCGCGCCGGAGCTTCAGAGGCAGGCAGGCGCTCTACCCCTGTCACCCGCACCTGTCCACACGCTCCGCCGCCCCTGACAAGTGCCATTTCAGAAGGGCAACACTACAGCTGTTACATAGCGTCGCGTTGATGTACGGGCGTTTTACGGAAAATGCTATTCGATTGTGAGGTTTTTGCGATTGGCGATTATAATGTTTAGGAAAATGTCAAAATTTAAGCGACTGTATGCAGTGTCAAAGATGTCAAAGAGTGAACAGAAATAACTTTTTGGGCTGTGCAGGTTTGAGCTCAGGCTAGTCTCTGCTTTTGTCTTAAACTGGTGAAAAGTGACGGCGAATCGGTTTGGACATTGATTTTGAAAAGCCCAGATTTGGATAGAGACAAAAATTATATATATTTTTTCTTCATTTATTGATCATCTTATTAAAAACAAATAAAAATGTCTTTCAGTCATCATCATCGTTATCTTAAAGAGGGTATTATACAAAATCAAATGGGCTTTCTACCAAAAACGTGCCTTTACAGGTTCTATATGTCACTCATGCATGTTTGAGTAATTTAGAGATCTCTTCCGGGCCCTACTCAAACCCTCCTTACGATTTGCTGTAAGATTCTGTGCAATGCTCTGCCCACAAGCCTACATCACCCTTGCTCCTGCGCGGCCATTTTCCATAATTATACAAACGCATAATATAAAACAATGCACTACAACTTCACAAACCTGGTGTAATACAGTAGTTTCATTAGCGGGAGGTGTTGTGATTAAGGATGGGCATGATTTGTTGACTAATCAATAATTGATCATTAAGAATTTCGTCGATCACGTTCATTTTAATCGACAAACCGAATGTAGGTTGCTGTGTGTAGCGTCGTGTAAGGAGATGAGCTGCGTATGACAGTGCAAACACTGGAGTTGTGCCTCACAGTCCCACGTTTGGGCTCTGGCTCACCTCTTTGGAGATCACTGTACCACACAATGAGTGTGTTTACAGCACATCAGTGTCCCGTCATGGTGCATGTACACGCAGCATCCTGGTTACTGCAATACAAGTGCAAGTGCATGTGTCCAAAAGATACTTTTTAATCTTTTCATCACAACAACAGCCAAAATAAAGAGCTAAGAGCAGCACTTTTAGTTTATGCAAATGAGCCATGTGGTTTTAAATTTTGTTTCTGTGAAACATAAACAAATGTGTCAAAGCTGCATTAAACACATTATAATGTCAAACGGACTGATGTGGCTCTAGAGTGGTTATGGTTTATATGTTTTAAAGTTGAGTTTATTTATGCAGATTAGTAATAATAATGATGATAAAATAATGGTGATAATTTTAATCTAAAAACGTTAATGATTAATTGAAAATCGATTGTTAATTCTCCCAATGATCAGTTACGAAAATTTGCCCATCCCGAGTTGTGATAGCACTCTGAGGGAGAAGTGAAAAGCAAAAGTAAAACTTTTTAGAACTCTATTTTCGCCGAATATACCATCTTCAAAACAACAAATATAAGAGGGAACATGGTAATCTAAATATATTATGTGTTAGCAACTAATACCTCATAGAAGTGCAATATTCCTTCTTTAAATGTGCTTTACGTAACTTTTCTGGTGGAGGGTCTGCCACTTGCCTGACTTCATGAAGATTTTAGTGCTCTGCCTGGACAAAGTACCAACCCACCAACAGAAAAGTTGCATAGTATACCTTTAAATACTTGTTATAATGAATGTCCCGTTCCCAGCCTGCTGAAGTTGGCCTAACATCAAATGCAAACCTACACAAAAACTATGTCATTTGTTTGTGCTTCATTTGTGCGGCAAAAAGTTTTGTTTGTGCGATTATGGTTCTTAAGATATTGGCAGTTTTATTTTTGGTTGATGACACGGTTGTGAAACGTTTATATTTCATTTGTGCTGTTTTGTGCTATGATTAAAATGATTAATTATTATTTTTGTAGAAATTATATGACGTCCTTTTTGCTCAGGTGACGGGAGCGGCTTTAGCAAAACTCAGTAAAACTAGTGAAGATAAACGATCTGAGGCCATGGAAAAGTCTGTATCAGTCTTCAGTGTTGGGGAGTAACAGATTACATGTACCATAGTTATGTAATCAGAGTACAAATTATGAGTAACTGTATTTAGTTACAGTTACTGTTTCAGTGAGTGGTAATTAGATTACAGTTATTTGATTGAAATAAATGGATTACATGGCGGTATTTTCCTGTTTTCACATTTTAGGCTATATCCCCCCTTTTTTTTTTTTTTTTGGTAATTCCACTCATTGCCGGACACTAAACCAGGACTAAAAATAAACCAGGATTGAAAACCAGGACTAAAACCTAAACCAGGAAAACCAGGTTTCAAAACCAGGTCAAAACCAGGTTTAAAAACCAGGACAAAACCAGGACTAAAACAGGTCTAAAACAGGATTTAACAGGACTAAATCATGCTGCGCAGACGTGTCTCATCTTCTATCAATAATATTTTTAATTTGGTTCAGTAAAGTCTGGGCTTTTTATTTTCTTTTATCAGACAAAACATCTTATGTTACAATATCCTCGTCTTTGTTTCTCTACAGCAAATCAAGTAATCCAAAGTATTCAGATTACGTTACTCACTTTAAGTAATTTAATGGATTCCGTTACAAACTACATTTTGGGGTATGTAATCTGTAATCTGTAGGGGAATACATTTTAAAAGTCACCTTCCCAACACTGTCAGTCTTCAGTAACTTGTTTTTGATTGATTTTATATAATAATACAGACTTTTGGAGCACAAATGATTGACATAGTTTTGTGTACATATGCATTTGATGAGGGACCAACTTGGAGAGGTCCAATACCAGTAATAAAGTGCTCCTAAACATTTAACCGAAGGCGTCTGCTCTGGTTCCAGTCGTCTCTGCCGTCTGTAGGGTTAGCTGTAGCTTTAGCATTAGCTCCGTCTGTCAGGTTGGCGAGCTCCTGGTCACTCCTCCGAGCGCACTCTTCTGTGACAAGCCTCGCGCTGTTGTGGCACATGTCAGCATGAGCGCCGCCCTAGCTGCCAGCTAAACATCTTACCATCTATATTTGAACAGCAATTTTCCTCCCTCTTTACACCCCGTCATTCACAGGCTTTTGGTAAAGACCTGGTGACATTTGTGGGTTTTGGTTATTATAGGTAAACAGGGACGCTCGTTTAAGGGGAAAAAAACTGCATTGTGTAAATAAAGTTTTTAAAAATAACCAAATCTCGAAGTATCCGTGACATGTGCCGTCAGTCACGTCCGGCTCGCCGCTGGTCGTCAGTCTAAACCCTGTTCTTGAAGCTGGTTAAATATAGCCACGATCAAATTGGACTCTGTCTGACACACACAGACAGGCGGCGCACAATACCAAAACAATGTCCACTCTGAAGACTGCTGGCTTTCTCTACGGCTCCTCCTGCACTCTTCTGTGGTGTGAATGTGAGGCTGTGGAACCTCTATGATTAAGGCAAATTAGTATTAACTTTACTACGGTGACAACAGAACCACTGCTTATCTGTTCATACTTCCTGTGTGTGTTGTGTGTGAGAGATTTATTGGTGGTCGGAGGGGTCGGTGGCGGTCAGAAAGATCCAGCGCAGTTGTTGTTACAGTGGAAGCAGTGGTTGTAGTACGCTACAACTATTACTTCCACTGTAGCTACGAAGACTGACGTATAGAATGAATAAATAAATACTTTACTCATTTCTAATCTGATAACATGCTAGATTCAAAGTAGCGAATTTAAAGAAGCTGATGTCAGTGTCATCAAGTCCAGATTTGATACAGCACATTAAATTAAGCCAGTTGTTTTCAAACTTTTTTCATCAAGGGCCACATATCTAAACACAGATGAAGCAGAGGGCCGATCGAGGGCCACAGACTGGAGCTCAATACAGGGAATAATTTAAATATGTGCATGTTTAACACCTTAGAATGAGCCAACAGTGTATTCATGCTAAGATCCTTAAAACCACACACTAAATATTAAATATTTGCTTTATCAAGGTAGATTTAAAAAAAATAAAATAAAAAAAACTTGCAGTAAAAAGTACATTTTTAATTGAGGCAATTTGGGCCAATTCACCTGAAAGCCTGAGGACCAAGAAAAACTTGTCTGAGGGACGCATTTTGCCCACAGGCCATAGTTTGGACATGCCTGACTTAAGCTGTCCTAAGTGCCATACACTGGTGCAGACAAAATATTAAAATTTAATAAATTGCATACAAAAAAACTATTATCATTATAATTACTGTATTTTTCAGACTATAAGTCGGAGTGTAAGTCACACCAGCCAAAAAATGCATAATGAAGAAGAAAAAAACATATAGAAGTTGCACTGGACTATAAATCACTTTTTTGGGAAAATTTATTTTATAAAATCAGGGACTAGGAACCAACATTTCATCATGAAAGAAAAGTTATCGTAATAACAATAGAATAAAGAACAACAGACTGAGTAGGTTTTAATATGTTAACGTCACATATGAACAGTTCTTCAGATAATTATAGCATAAACAACAGAACATAAGTTTACCAAACTCTCCATCTCACTCCAAATCACTAAATCCAATTGAATCCATTGAATTCTTCACCAATGGCTTCCAGGAAAGTTGCATGGTGCACCCTCCCAGTTACCGTGAAGCTGTGTTTCCTGCTTTCTGTCAGTCCCTCACAAGTTTCTCACTCACTCCAAACTTTCTTTCTGCTACTCGATTACCGTTTTCTGCTGCATATTTCACTACTTGCAGCAGGACAGTGGGTTTTTCTGCAGGAGACATGCGCAGAAAACTGATACACAAACCTAGAGCCTCTCGTGGCTGTCAATCTGAAAATTTTAATATATAAGTTTCAGGAAACACCCAAACCATGAAAAAAAGTGTGACTTATAGTTCGAAAAATATTGTATCATAACATAAAAAACCCAAAAGGGTAAAGTAGTTCATTTAAGTGTTGAACGAGTCAGTTGAATGTGCATGGGCTTTAAAACCCATTTACGGGATTGCCACTTAATTATGTCACAAGGTGGAGCCCAGTGTTACAAGTGCTGGACAGGGAGACTGTTTACATACAGTATATTAGCTAGATTACTTGAATGACTCAATGATACTAAATTCAACTGGATATATTTATGTGTGAGGAAGTGTTGGCTAAAAGTTCAAATGAAATGAGCAGAACACAGTGTCGTGTGAATAGTTTTGGCTTGTATGCTGTGGTCGTGTTCCAGTCGACATCAGAACAAATGTGTGTCTGACTCTTGTTGTGTTGTGTGGTGCAGATCCGGTGTGGATACAGAAGATGCTGCAGGCTCCATGTGCTTTCTGTGACTCCCCTCTCATCTAAAGGTCAGAGGTCACGAGAAGGACCTCCGGGCGACCTCCAGGGCGTTTGGCTCCGAGGCTGCGTCCAACACCTCGACAGTTACTTTTATATCGTATCTTGTTCACTTTTATACTGTTGTTGTTGAAAATGAGAATAAAACATGTTTGTGTAATCCTGGGTCCTTACTACAACATGGATGCTTCACTGAAGGTACAATACTGAATTAGAATTTTCTATCAGGAGGTTTAAAAACAGCTTCAAAGGTTCTGTGCCTGATTTTTTTTTTGGTCTTGAAAAACGCGATTTTAGTTCATTTGAAATGGTTTACAGTTGTCCAAAGTTACTCCTCACATTCCTAACACATTCTGAGCGTCCTAATTATTCAGTGATGAGTTTATTGTCTTTTCACAACATTTCAGAGACCACCAACTAGCATGCTAATGTGCACCAGCTTTAATTCCTGAGTCAGTAGATGCAGTCAGTACACAGAGGTATCATATCTGTTATATCAAATTGTACTTTAAAACATGAAAAAAGGTGGATACAGGTTAAAAACAACAACAACAAAAAAACACTCTAAACATGGGGTCAGCTCCATGTTCTAATGTTTTATCAAATCTCAGTCCCAACATGCTTGTGTTTCCACATTTTAGGGACCTTTTTCGTTTTGTTACGAACTACGATTGTCAAAACTATCGAAAATCAAATACAAATCAATACTAAAACTACATACTCATTTGAGACATTTGTGCTTATAAAAACGTTCCATTCACAGAACAGAGCAGAACCTTTCCTGAATGTCTTTAGAATGAAGTTGAACAAGTATAAGAGCACACAGACGAGTATACACCTATGGAACCTTCTTGACCACTGAGGATTACACACAAATAACACCACATAGGCCACGTTTACATGATGTTTTAAATTCTGAATGAACTGTTATGAATTAAGTAGTTTGGAATTAAAATATTGTCCTTCGAGTTTACATGTACATAATAATTCTGAAATTGGAAAACACGTTAAATCTTCTTTATTTAATTCCACTCAGTGTCTGGGGGTGGGGAAGGGTTCTGATTGGACAGAGAGACAAATGTATTTACATCGACCGGAAGAAAACACACACTTCAGCTGCTACCGGCTTTTCTGTCATCTCGGTTTGTCGTTACACTACCGACAAACATGATCCAAACTTTTTTCGCAGTCATTTCGTTGATAATGAAGCAGCAGCTGGAGAATTGTCTCATCACAGAGGAGAAGGGAAGAGGGTCGGAGAAGGGAGGAAGAAGACAAACTGAGTCAACGGCTGCTCTACCTCAGCCCACTACCTCATCCCGCTCACAAATCCAGAGAGACGTGGATGAAAGTCTGAAGCTTGGACTGGTGGAGCCGGATCGTGTCAGAACGAGCGTGATTATTTTTAAGAAGAGTAAACGTTTAGATAATCGAGGAATGAATTAATTTGGCTTTAAAATCGGAATAAACCGCCTACTTACTTCAGAATTCAGTTTAATTCTGAATAATCATTTTCATTAGGAATTAAGTGTTTAAGTAATGGTCTTTTAAAAGCGGAATTAATCTTTATTCAGAATGAAATTATTTTTATTCGGAATTAAAGGTCGATGTAAATGTGGCAGTGGTGAAAGAAAGTAGTGTTTTTCTAGTATCATGATATTGGAATCAGTATTGAGTATCAGGTCTATTCTTTAGTATCGAAAATCGAGTTTTAAATTTCAGTAGCATGACAACACTATTATCAGGGCATCCCCAGGTTTGATTACCCCAAATTTAAGACTTTTTTAGGACCTTTTTAAAACCACTTGCATGAAAATTAATACCAACATCGCACCCATTATGCGGGTGAAAAACACCAGATCCAATTCTAATCATGACCAACCAACTACAGGTACTATATCTAAAATGTAAGAGCCGCTGTGGATTAAAGCTACACTTCCCCATGATCCATCCAACAACTTCCTTCACTCTACTTATTGTTTACTCATTGCCCCCAGCACCAGAAACCACAGTATTGTTTGCGCAAACTCCAAATTAGACGTTCATTCACATTATGTGATTTCACATTGTTGTTGTTTTTTTTTCTAGCCAGTCTGGCGCCACCTAGTGCCTCTGCTCAATTTCGTTTCTCTCCAGCGACTAGGTCAGGAAGCAGAATACACTAGACCAGGGGTGGGCAAACGTTTTGGCTTGGGGGCCACATAGGGTTCTAAAATTTGACTGAAGGGCTGGACAGGAGACAGGACATGATGTGTTAAGAACCCGGCTCCATTGCACTTGTATTTACGCTCATGAAGGATGTATTCTGCACTATGCGCAACTTTTGGACGCGTAAATTTCACATCGCATTAAAAATGATTGAGATCTGCTTTCTCTACGCACACCACAGGTAAGCGTGAGTCCGACTTACTTACATCTCGGTGAGAAATAGAGCCCAAGCCACGAGGTTGCACGTGTTGACATTTCCACGGACAGCCAAACTTGTTTCTTAAAACTATTAACACAGCTTTTTAAGGATCTTTAACTTTATTTTTAACCCAGCCAATATGGAAACAGTGCAGTCTTATGTCTTGAACACTTCTACCTCACTCATGGTCGCAGCCCTGAAACTGCTTTCCCATAAAGCATTGCGGCCAACATAATACGCCGCACCTCAATGTATATATAGTGCGCCATCTACTGGGAAACGCCGGAAATGCAGGAAAAATAAAACATCAAAAAAGTTTATTATTGTAATTTATTCAAGTGCGACGGGCCGGATTAAAAGGTTTAAAGGGCTGCATACGGCCCCCGGGCCGGAGTTTGAAGTGCAAGTTCGGGCACCAGCCAATCAGCGAAGATATATATTCTCTATTGTCAACGATTCCCGAGATTGAGGATTTAAAGCCGGAACTAAGAGAATGTTTGGTGAATTTTATCAAGGGGAAAGACGTTATTGTTCTTCCTACAGAATTTGGGAAAAGCTTAATATACCAGTTATCCCCATTAGCAGTGCATTACATACGTCATGACCAAATAGCAGTGATTGGTTAAATAAAAAAAAAAGTACCCGCCTACCATCAAGCGAATGAATTCTAACACTGCGAGGTCAGACGATTTCTACTTAACATCACACTGCAGCCTGGCTGAGTAGACAAAAAAATAGGCTAATGAAATTTAAGACCTTTGTGAAAAAAATAAGACTTGGACAACATGATTTAACTTTTTAAGGCGTTAATTTACTAACATGAAATTTAAGACCCTTTAAAGACCCCGCAGCCACCCTGATTATGGACAAGTCAAACCTAAAACGTGACTAGACCGATGTCGATGAAAACAAACCAACTCAAACGAGATCTAGACAAAAATCTATATCTTACTTTCGAACTGCAAACTGGGAAGTCTTTTAATTATTTTTCCAAAGAGATAAACCTTTTTGGTCTCCACACAATGTGCTGTATTTCATTCTAAAATTAAACCCAATGCTCTGTTTTCACAAAGCAAATTTAATACACAGTTCTATACAGCTTTCTTTTCAGTCGCTCCTTAAATTAGCCTCCCATTTCCTTACGTTGACTCTTCCTCCTCTGCTTTGGTGTACTTTTTATTGCGAGTTAGCGGAACTTACTTACCCCGCCTCGCCTATGTTTTCTCTCTTATTCAGGCACAACAAATACTACATTTTGAATTATACATAGAGTGGGGAAAGAGACACATACCTACTTTAATTGGTAAAAGAATCCGAAAGCGGCGTTGGTGGGAGGCGCGCAGGCGGTCTCCGATGAGGACTTGGGTGCGTGTAAAGGAGGAGCGCCCCATGGGAGAGCTCCTAATCATATGCGCCCGTAATGAGGGACACAACATGGCGCCAGATGTGGGTTTAATTCTAATCAAGTCGAGAGAGGGAGGGAGAGGAGGGTGGTGAGGGCGAGTGAGCGAATGTATGTGTATATTGTTTAATGCATTAACTTTTTTTTTCCCCATATGCTGCCGGAGTGTAGCCTGTTAAACTTGTGTGTTTAAAGTGGGGTTAGGAAAGACGTGTTGGGTGATGGTTCTGTAGAGAATGTTCAGGAGGTTGTGTTCAGAATGTCAAAATTTCACATGGAGTGCAGGGGTGTATTAGCAGTGTTGGGAAGGTGACTTTTCAAATGTATTCCCCTACAGATTACAGATTACACACCCCAAAATGTAATTTGTAACGTAATCCATTAAATTCCTTAAAGTGAGTAACGTAATCTGAATACTTTGGATTACTTGATTTGCTGTAGAGAAGCAAAGACGAGGATATTGTAACATAAGATGTTTTGTCTGATAAAAGAAAATGAAAAGCCCAGATTTTACTGAACCAAATTAAAAATATTATTGATAGAAGAGGTTTAGGAGACACGTCCACACCAGCTGTGATTTAGTTTCTGTTTTAAGTCCTGTTTTAGATCTAGTTTAGACCTGGTTTTTAGTTTAGACCTGGTTTAGATTTTAGACCTGGTTTAGACCTGATTTTAAACCTGGTTTTAGACCTGGTTTAGATCTGGTTTTAGTCCTGGTTTAGATCTGGTTTAGTCCTGGTTTAGACCTGATTTTAGACCTGATTTTAGACCTGGTTTTAGACCTGGATTTAGTCCTGGTTTAATCCTGGTTTAGCTCTAGTTTAGGGGGGGCTGCTTAAAATGTTTTTATTTAGGCCAAATAAAATATCCAGCACAGATGATGTATGATAGGCATACTTTCATCATTTATATATTTTATTTTACACTTATATTTAGTTTACGGGACTGCAGTTTATCATCCTACCCTCCCGCTCCTGCGTTGTGTGGTCCCACTCCCGCCCGCTCCCGCAATGAGCTTTCAAAATATGTCCCGCGTCGCACTGTTTTGCATCGGTCCCGCAGGTCAGGTGCAGGGCTCTAGTCTACAACTTCTGGGGTTCTTGCAACTCGTCGAGTGTATTCTAATTCCTGACCTAGTCACTAGAGAGAAATGGTGGCTCCAGCCTGACTAGGGTGTATATGACTGGACAATTCACTGTTACAGCATGAAATATACTGTAGGTCACACAAATGTTCTACCTTCTTATTAGACTATTTCTTTATTTGTCATGTGTTATACTGTTATTACCTGCTCAAAAACAGACCTGGAATTGTGTTTTGTTTCATTCATACAGTCAAGTAATCCTTTATT